GACAGCCGGGCGGCGCGGGCCGGGCCGGGGACCCGGGGGCCGCGGAGTGGACCGGGCCGAGACGCTTGGGGGGCACCGAGGAGGTCAGGAGAAGGAGCCGAGCCCCGCCCCCCGCTCGGACCCCCACCCCAGGCATCGTGTTTTCCAACGGGCCGCGCTGGCGGGCGCTGCGCAGTTTTGCGCTCGGCGCGCTCAAGGAGCTCGGGCTGGGCTCGCGGACCGTCGAGGAGCGCGTCCTGGAGGAGGCGGCCTGCCTGCTGGGCGAACTTCAAGCCACCTCTGGTGCGGCCTGGCGGGAACGGAGCGGGACCTAGTGTGGGGGCGACCCGCGGGCAGTCAAGAAGGGGCGGGGGAAGGCACGGGGGAGGGAAGGCGCCAGGAAAGTCAGAGCGAGCGGGGGGCCATTGTAACCTCGGCCAGGAACCCCGTTCGACCCCAGGCGGCTACTGGATAGTGCCGTCTCTAATGTGATCTGCTCCGTGGTCTTCGGGAAACGCTATGGCTACGAGGACCCCGAGTTCCTGAGGCTCCTGGACCTCTTTCACGACAACTTCTGCATCGTGAGTTCCAGATGGGGCGAGGTGAGAAGACGAGCCAGTCCCTCCCGTGTACACCCAATGAATGACTCCCCAGCTTCACAGACCTGTCTACACGGCATCACTGGGGTGATCTTAGACTCCGGAACCGGAGCGTTCTAGGACAGGCCACATCCAAGTGCTGGGCCTGTCTTCCCCTGGGGAGACTAATGGCCTTGTTGTAGTTCCTACTGAGGTCCTGTCCCCCCAGATGTACAACATTTTCCCCTCCCTCCTGGACTGGCTCCCTGGCCCACACCACCGAATCTTCCAAAACTTTGCTGAGCTGCGGGTCTTCATCTCTGCGCAAATCCAGCAGCACCGGCAGACCCGAAGGCCTGGGGAGCACAGGGATTTCATCGACTGCTTCCTCGACCAGATGGATAAGGTGCAGGCCCTGCTGCTGCTGACTACCCTCACTGCCCACCAGCAGGCACCCACTTGCAGCAGCGCCCGTGTTCCCCCCCCTACAGGAGCAGCAGGACCCAGAGAGCCACTTCCAGGAGGAGACCTTGGTGATGACCACGCACAACCTCTTCTTTGGTGGCACCGAGACGACAAGCACCACCCTGCGTTACGGGCTTCTCATCCTGCTCAAGTACCCAGAGGTGGCAGGTCTGCGAGCTGGAGCCCGTGGGGTGAGGGGGCTGGGGCGGGGCCAGGCTGGGCTCACCGCTCTGGTGCCCTCAGCCAAAATGCAGGCCGAGCTGGACAGCGTGGTGGGGAGGACGCACGCCCCAAGCCTGGAGGACCGCGCACGCCTGCCTTACACCAACGCCGTGCTCCACGAGATCCAGCGCTTCATCAGCGTGTTGCCCCTGGGGCTGCCGCGAGCCCTCACCCGCAACGCCAGCCTGCACGGCCACCTCCTGCCCAAGGTGCGAGGCGCGCCTCAGGGGCGAGGTATGGGGATGAAGGCATCTCGGCAGGTCAGTGGGTGAGCCCTGCCCATCTCCCCAGGGCACGGTCATGATCCCTCTGCTTGTGTCCGCACACCGGGACCCCACCCAATTCAAGAGCCCAGACTGCTTCAACCCCGCCAACTTCCTGGATGACAAGGGACAGTTCCAGAGCAATGATGCCTTCATGCCCTTTGCTCCAGGTCTGGGCCCGGGTGGGAGGGGACCGGCCGGGCCAGGCCGGGGAGTGCTAGAGCTTCTTACCCTGCATCCCATCCCCAGGAAAGCGGATGTGCCCGGGTGCAGGGCTGGCCCGATCGGAGATCTTCCTCTTCTTCACCGCCATCCTTCAGCAGTTCTGTCTGCTTCCAGTGGGAAGCCCGGCCCACATCGACCTCACCCCGCAGTGCACTGGCCTGGGAAACATCCCCCCAGCCTTCCAGCTGCGGCTGGTGGCCCGCTGAGATCAAGCCCATCACTCCACCCTCCAGCTCTGACCACCTTACCCCTGTGGGTGAATAAAAGCCCCTGAACAGCGGCCGGGGGGCCTCCTTCCCAAGCAGGGAAGGGGGAGTCAAGCGGTGTAGCTCTGAGGTACTTTTATTTCTTTCTCGGCTGACAGGATTCCCACACCCATGCTCCTCCCAGCACCTTTTATCCGCCCAAGCGCGGCAGCCCAGTCCAAAAGGTGCCTTGGCCAAAGGGTTTGGGGAGTCACTTCACATTCCAGGCTGGAGGAGGGGGGAAGAGTCCCCCCACAAACCTCTGCCAGCAAGAGGCCATGACTCCCTAACCCCAAATCCTGCATCCTGGTAGGAGGTGGCACCGCTGCCTTCCCGCTCACACCTGACAGGGGCACAACCTGACAGGACAGGGCGGCATGAAAGCCCCGGCCCCAGGAGTGACAGCCCCCAACGGCTCCTACCCAGGTCACCCCCATCCCTACCACAGGGCAGCAGAGGTCTCTGTTCCTCCCTGGCCCTCAATGGCGGACAAGCCCCCACACCAGGCAGGACAGAGGCAAAGTCGGAAGCAGCAGTGGCAGCGGGCAGGGCGCAGGCACCGAGGTGGGCGGCTGGCTCGTGGCACGGCCCCGGCGCTCCCGCAGGGCAAGCGGTCTGTCCACGCGGCTCTGGGCGGGCTCTAAGTGGGCGTGGTCGGCTGCGAAACGGGCACTTGGACACCCTTCTGTCCTGCCGCTGAGGGAAGAGGGGCAGAAGACAGTTACCAGGGGCGGCGCCACGAGGCCACGGAAAACCTGGGAGACAGCGGGGGCTTGTGCGAGGGCTCCAGCCCAGCAGCAGGTGGGCAAGGTGAGTGGCAGGCTTACGTCAGAAAGGGAAGACGCCCACACCTGCTGCCACGGGCAGCAGCCAGAGGCCGAGGCAGGGTTTGGTGTGGAACTAGGGAGGCGGAGGAAGCAGTGGGCCGGCTGGGGGAGGGGACGCAGCTGGGGAAGCAGGTACCTAGCTGATACTTGTCTTTGGCTGCTGCTCGCTCCTTGGCGTCAAAATACCAGACCGTGATGGCATACCTGGGGGCCAGAGCAGCCCAGAGGGCAGTCAGGTCACTTCCGCAACAGCCCTCGCAGCCCATGACGCTAGCTTCCCGCGTCGGCTCCCCCCGAGTCCGCCCCCGCACACCACTCCGCAGGCACTCGGGGCCGAGGCCCTGACAGGCTTCTTTTTTGGCCTCAGGGTAGCATCTGGGCACATCCTCAGAACTCCCCCGTCATACCTGGTGGCATAGGCTGGCTTCACCTCGTGGGGATTCCGCCGGTCGGACCAGAAAATAAGCAGCCGGTCAAAGAGTGGCTCAATATTGGCTACCACGGGCCGGCCCTCGGGGAAGATCTGCAGCAGGCCGCCATGCACCTGGGCGGGGGGCGCAGGCTGAGCCCAGAGCGACCCACCCAGAGGGGCCCACCCGGGCAGGGGCCGCGTGCGTCACTCCCCCACCACTTGGGCTCTTAAAATGAACGACAGCCCAGAGTGCACATCGCCATGGAGACCGGCAGGAAGCTACTGAAGACAGGAAATGGGGTGTTCATTAGCCTGGGGGCTGGCCAGGCAGCACCACTCCCCGAAGAGGGGTCCACTTCCCTGGAAGAGGCGGCTGGCACACCACGGCCTCCTCTCAGCGGGGAGTGGGGAGGACGAGGGCAATGCCAGAAGCTGAGCTGGGAGCGGGAAACAGTGGCCGCAGCCCTGCCCACCCAACCCTACCTTGACGTCCCAGTTCTGGTTCAGGTAATAGATACAGGTGATGCAGCGCCCATCGCCATGGGGATTGTCAACGTGCCGCACGTAGCCCAGCCCGCTGCCTGGGTAACAAGCCACCATGGCCTAGCAGAGAAGGAAGGAGGTCGGTTTGCCTCAGTTTTCCTCCCCAACACCCCACCGAATGCTCCCGCGTCCCAGGCTCCACAGGCTGTTTCCAGACTTTCTCTTTTCAACAAACTCCCACCCGCCAGAAACCCCAGAAGCTCCTGGACCTTAAAAGTCCACCTGCACCGGAGCCTGGCCCCAGGCGGGGCCCGGCCCCAGCTCAGACACTTCAGCAGAGTGACGCCATGTGCACACTGCTGCGGCCTCCACCCCACACAGGCTCGCGCCCTCGGCTGCAGGACAGCCTCACCTGCGCTGACCCCCAGCACACCCCGGAGGTGCGGCGTGCCAGGTCTAAGGTGGAGCCAGGAATGTTCAAAGGCTCTCCAGGTGAGCAAAGCCCTTGACCATGAGAACCCCACTCAGCCCCAATGTGTCTCATCACACAAGCAAAGCCCACGGACAGACTGAGTGGTAACCCCAACTCCAGGACAACGTCCTGTGAAGGAGGCCTTGGACAGTCCATCAGCTGCCAGTTCCAACGCCTCATCTGTAAATTGGGGCCAGTAAACACCTCTGTGGACAGCAGAGGCTCGGGCCTCTGAGAACGGTCTCTGAAAACTCCCGGCAGTGACGCACTCCAGGCCTCGGCTTCGACGGACAGGTGTAGCGCAGGGCGCTGCGCCCTGTCCTGACAGCCCTGACCGCCCTGAGGGTGGACGTGGTGGGAGGGCGAGGGCCCAGGCGCTCCCGCAGTCCACCTGGCCGGCCCAGCGCTGTGACGCACGCGGTGGCACATGGCGATGCTGGGCAGGTTAGAGGGCTGCCCCACCCTGGCCTCTTGTCCCTGAAACCACCTCAGGACAGCTGCTCACAGGTGGCAGAGGGACCTCAACAAGACAAACACTGGGAGGCGCCAGCACGGTGTCTGCCCATGACGGCACAAAGCGCTGGCAGACGCGGCGCCTGACCGTCCGCTCAAAGCCTCTGGGTGGACCGGCAGGAAGACCCACCAGCCTGGGAGCATCGGTCTTGCCCCTTGGCCCACACTGAGGCCAGACCGAAGCTGCCTCTGGGCATGGCCTGGCGAGACATCGGCACTCTGGCCTCGCCCAGCACGCCTGGGCTCACCCCGGCTCACACTGCTCTGCAGTAGACGTGGGCACCTAATCCCTTGCAGCACTGCCCTGGGCAAGAAGCCAGGAGGGCAGTGCCAGGTGAGGCCGCCCAAAGGAGAGTCACGCTTCTCCGTGGCAGCGCAGGGCAAAGCGCTGGTCCTTGACATTCCAGGTGCCAGAGGGAGAGGCGTCTCGGCACTGCTCACTCCCTGCAGACAGGGCAGCCTCTTAGGAAAGAATCTGGCTGTGGGCACAAAGCAGGGGCAGGAAACCCGAGCAGAGACTGCACTAGCTCTGCGTGCGATGGGGGGAAGAGAGGAGTCCAGTGCCGCCCGCGGGCTCTCCAACAGCAGCCAGCTCGGCTCTCCCAGCTCCAGCAGCCCGAGAAAACGCAGGTGCCCGCCACAGCCCCTCCTGTCTCCATCACTCCCATGCAGCTCGCAGGCTCCCAGCTCTCCCAGCAGGCCCTGCTCAGCCCCACCTCAAGGCCTTTGCACCTGCTTGGGCCATTCCCCTGCACGTCTCCAGTCAAAGGTGACTGAGCCAGCGGAAGGCGCCTGAGCTGACGTGCGTGCAGCCCCCGCCTCGGGGGCAGTCAGCAGACACCTGTTCACGAGTCCAGGGCCTGTCTCCCTAGCTACCTGAAAGCGATCCTCTGGGTCTCAAGGCCTCCTCTGCTCTGTCCAGTCTGGGCACCCTCACACAGGGCCCCCCACTGCAGGCATGGGAAGGGACTCGTGCATAAGGCCCTTAAGCTCCCACCTGTCCCCCAACACTCACCTGGCCGGGGGTGGAGGCCTGTGCGTGTGGAAGCCGTCCCACGGCAGACCCAGTGCTGAGACAGTGTGACACGGAATGTTGCTCCTCACCCTCCCACCTCAGGGGAGGGGAAGCTGGGATCAGAGCCAGGAGATTACAGCCTGCAGGCTGTAGGTGGTGATGTGCCAAAAGCCCATCGGCGCCCCTCCCCCTCCCAGCCCATCAGTGCCCATCTCCCCCTCCCCAGCTCCCACTCTTGGAAGCTGGGAACTAAGCCAGTGACAGCAGGCCCCCTCCAAACTGCTCTTAAAGGGACAAACCAAGTCAGCCAGGCCCTCTCTGGGTGCCCGTGATGGGCTGGGGGGGGGTGGGGAGGGGGAGAGAGGGTAGACTCTCCCACCTGCAGGCCAAAGGGGAGCCTCTGCACGCTGCTCAGGGAGAGGGAGGCAGACCTGAGCTTCGAGCTCAGGAACTAGCCAGGGGCCGGTGCTGCTGGCCCAGGCCACACTGCTGGTCCATGCCCCCACGCCCACTGGGGCCACCCATCTCAGTACCCCAGTCTGCCTCACTCCAGAGTCTGGCAAGGGAGCTCAGATGTCACCCTCTGAAGGCAGGGAAGCCTGGAGTCCTGTCTGGAGCAGGGCATGGTCTGAGGCACACCAGTGAGGGGCCGGTTCCTGCCCTCCCTTCTTGGACTTGGCTTGTTCTTATCTCTTGGGGCAACAGAGGTCACCCAGGGCTAGACCCTATCAGTACCCCCCATCCTAGCCAGGGCCCTGTCCCCAAGCACGTCCACAGTGGAAGCCAGAAGAAGAGATCCGCTCCCACTACTTGCCCTGCTGCGGGCCGCAGACTTAACCTGCTCTTCTCAGTGGACGAGCCAGTGTCCTGCCCCAGGCCACTCGCTCCTGTGGTCTCCAGGCCCTGCCTGGGAGGCGCCTAGCACCCTGCGGCCAGGGAAACTCCCACTGGCCTCTCCAGCCTGTGAAGGGACAGGAGCAAGCCCCCGAGGGCCGGCCCAGGGAGGAGTTGCCTGTGCTCAGCTATCAAGGGAAACAGGACAAGTTCCAGCTCCGTGGGGAGGATACTGGCCTGGGCCCCGGGGGAGCCCCAGAGGGAAGTTGCAAGAGCCGACCCAAGATGGACCCAAGGAGGGAGGAAGGGCACGCGGGAGCGCAGCGCAGTCAGGCAGCACTGGTGTCAGGCGGCACTGCCCGCGGTCACTGTCCCTGTCCCTGTCCCGGCGCCCAGGGCTCTGCCTCAGGTCAGCCCTGCGCCCTCCCCGGGGGAGCAGCGTCCTGCCAGCAGCTGGAAAGGCCCTGGGCCCACGGTCTCGTGAGGGCTCGGACCAGGCCTTAGGCCCTGACAACTGCCCCCAACCACCAAGCCAACAGTGCATGTTTAAGAAGAGTGTCTGTGGGATTCTGGGCGATGCTCAACACAGCCCAGGTTCCAAGAAAAGATTAACACCTTCTACTTTAAAACAAGTAGAAAGGACCAAGAAGAGAAAGGCAGCAGATCAAGGGGCGAGACCAGAGACAGACAGGGATGAAGGGGGGACAAGGATGGGGGGCAGCAAGCCACCAGGGTCAGCACTCAGGCCCAGCACCACGACGCTGTCCTTGACGCAGACACCTCAGCTACATGCGGGTGCCAAGCCGTGCCCGGCGGGCTGCAGCACCTCCCCCCTCAGCCTGGCAGCCGCCCCGCCGCTGCCCCCCTCCCCCTGCCACTGAAGTTCTCCTGCCTGGGAGACAGAACAAGACCCCAGGCAGGTGGGACAGACACACGGGCCGGCAGACAGGGACGGAGGGCAGGGAAACAGGACACGCTAAGGTGGGGCGAGACGTGCACACGGCAGGGCTGTCTACTGACTGCTCTCGGTACAGCGCCCGTGGAGACATCGGGGCCAGACGCCCCACCATGGCCAGTGTCCAGGTGTTTGCACCTCCGCCCAGGTCCTTTCGGAGGCCCCTGGCAAGATCAGAAACTGTGACTACAGGTGAAACCCCAGGCGGAGGGGCTCAAACTGCGGCCACGGGGTCAAGCACACTGGCCCGAGTCCCCGCAGGCAAGCGAGCCCGAGGCGCACTCCCCCGCGGCCCCCACCCGTGCTGTCTAAACCCCCGGCCACCCCGAAGTCTCCGTCCACACTGTCACGCTGAGAGCACCAAGCAACTGAGAGTGCCGGCCGGCCGGCCCGTCCCACTGCCCCCCGCGGCCGTACCTTGGTGCGCCCGTTGATGACGTAGGCGCCCAGCCGGCCAGCGCAGTGCCGGATCACGGCGTCCACGTGGGCCATGAGGGCACCGATGCTCCGGCAGCCTGGCTCGTGGCCTTCCACCCAGGCGATCTGGTCCCCGCGGATGCTGCGCGGCGGGATGGCCCTCTGGCTCACCAGCTGCCCGTCCCGCAGCCGCCCGTCCCGCTTCAGGGCCTCCACCTCGGCCAGCACGCGGCCGCCCAGGGCGGCCCCCAGGAAGGTGTCCTTGACGCAGATGCCGTAGTACCGCATGCAGGGCACGATATAGTCCAGGGCCAGGCGCTCGGGGGCGGAGGGCGGCATCTCCTCCCTCGGCCCGCCGCTGGCCTCGCCTCTGCCGCTGCTGCAGCCCACGCCGCCCTCCCTCCCTGCCTCTGCCTCCGGCTTCTCCTGCCTGGCCCAGGGCCGCTTGCTGGGTGCAGGGGCATCCCCCCCATCCTCTGCCCATTTCCGTTTGGGGGCCTCGGGCCGGGCGCCCTGAGCTGCCAGTCGCTGACACCCCTTGGTGACCAGTGCCGCGGCGCCCTCACTCTGCAGTGGCCACAGCTCACCACCATCCTGCCCACCGAAGCCTTCCCGAAGGGGGCTGGCTGTGGCAGAAGTGACTGTGGCTCTGGGGGTCCCACTGCCAGCCGAGGCCTCACCGGGTACTCCAGGGCGGTGGTAGGAGGGGAGCAGGGCACAGGGCAGGTAGGTCTCCACCCCCATCCCGGCCCGGTTAGTCTCCAAAGGCTCTGACACAGAACCCGGCAACTGAGGCTGAGCCCGACTCAGGGGCTGCGGCTGGCACGGGCTGTCCATGGCAGCAGCGTCTTCATCCCCCGGGCATGGAGGGCACGGCCCGGGCCCATGGTGCCACCCTCCTCCGCCTCCTCCTCCTCCACTTGATGCAGCCGGGGGCCGGGGCGGCTGGGCCTGGTGTGAGGCAGGGTGAGGCAGGGCAAGTGGCAGAGGCTCTTCTTGTGGCCTGGGGGTGCTCGCTGGTCCCCAAATCCTCCACTGTCCCTAGAGACTTGGAAAGGGACACGTCAGGGTGGCTAGAGGAAGAGAGAAAAAAGGATGTGAGAGTTAGAAGCGGGCAGGATGGGAAGAGGGGAAAAGGTGTCTGGGCAGTAGGAAGGAACAGACGAGAACTCCCCAAACCTGCCGGCAAGTCGGGGAGCAGATTCTGGTAACTGGAGAAGAAATTACTGACAGACAAGAGGTGGTGAGGGGGTCGGCTGGAAGACTGGGGCTAGCAGAATGCAGAAGACTGCCATGGGGGGCTGAGGGGGTGAGGCGCATCCTCACACAGAAAAGAAGGGGGCCCGAGCAGAGCAGAAAAGGGCCAGGGGAGTTGGAAACGAGGGGATCTGTCTGGGGGGTTCCAGAGACACACAGAAGCCAAGTATGAAGTCCACTGACAGAGGAAACTGGGGGGGGG